TAATCATTGCATGATAGTTTAGAATCTAACACTTTCTATCAGTAACAAGAATTTGGAATTCTTACACTTGCAATAAGGATTTGGATTTGTGAAATGAGTATCATTGGAAATATTTTCACTTGATCTATTTCACAAATTAAAAGACCATAGTAAACATTGTGTGGATGCTTGGAGCATGGGATAACTATTGTTTCAATTCAAGTATTAAGTTGATAAATCGAAACATTATACAATGAATAATGTGTAATCAATATGGTGATTAAATAAAAGGTGTTTTATTTATATTCATAAGTTCTGAGACCATATTGGATTCGATTATTCTTGTGCTTCACTTTGCATGTTTTGACTTCCCTAATAACTAGGTTATTCAAACTATCCACAATCGATCGTACTTTGGAAGTAGGTATTGAGGGAAGACTATCATGAATATGGCTTGTAGATTCTCTAAAGTGCTTAGGCATAGCAAAAGATTGCTACAACATTCATGAGTGCTCATAAGGTCTGAGTATTGCATTAAACCCACGCTCATCTGAAACTTCATGGATTTTATCATAAGTGATTGTGAGACAATAATATCTTATATTCTTGAAACGGAGACATGTGAGTTGTAGTTTCAAGTCGGTTGCACATTGACATATGTAAATGCACCAGTAACTTGGTGTTATAAAACATATTGTTGTGTGTAATTTGATGAGTAAGTACAAGCAAGCATTTCGGTCGAAGTTTATCCATTCCTTTTACCCTTATAGGGATAAAAGCGATATCTGTGAGCCCCTCGATGATTTAGTGATGACAAACCTAAGTGCTTGGCCAAGTCTGGACTGATTTGTTTTGTTTAATTAGTCGGTCGTCATAAATCGGAAATCAGGAAACAACAGATGGACAACGAGAATGATTAAAATCCATGTCTCAGTCCATACGATATCTAGAATGGAGGAATATATGATCTCTTATCTAATGGACGCGTCATTGACTAGGTCAGAGTTCGACAGCGCTTTTAAGAGCTACAATTACTAGTCGGGTTGTGGAGTCGTAATTGCAATAATAGTTATTAGACATATCCAAGTGGGAGACTAGTGGATTAGGTGTCTAAGACCATAACTATAATTGGTATGTACTTGACCCAAGAGTAGCATGGTTCATTTGGGTTGCATATCACCGCGACAATTTGATAGGATGGACTTTTGGGAAGAGGTTATTTATGATTTATTAATATATTATAATTTCTAATATATTAATATGAAATCATATGATTTAATTAGTATTGATCAAGAATTTGCTTGGAATTAATTTAGTGATCGAAAGAGACTAATTAAATTAATGGGGACTAATTGTGTAAATTAGTTATATATATGTTTTGGGCTTATGATACATGATGGACTAAGTTTATGGAAGAATGCATAAAGAGTTAGCCCACTTGAATCATGGATCATGGATAATAAGCCCAAGAGTATAGATTAGGGTTTACCCATGACTCTTGGATTCCTAACATATATATAGAGCACCTCATAGCTAAAATTGACAACCTAGTGCAAGAATACTCTCTCAAACATCATCCTTTATCCAAGGTGTACTATGAACCATTTGAGGAGCAACATTTGGGGCACTAAGTTCTTAAAAGCCAAAACTACAAACTACAACAAAGAGGTAATTCTATAACTTAATTTTATGTTGCTTATGTCAATTGTATGCTAGTTGTAGGCTTAATGCTTTGGAAACAACATTGCATGTATAATTATAGAAAACATAGATCCAAAGCATTTAGGGTTGTATGTGCACCATAGGATGTTGTAGTATACTAAAACCCAACACAAACATACTAGGATGTCATGCAAACCCTCCAAGGTCTTATACCAAATGCCACGAGAACCCCGCGGGGTCTTCCATATAAATATCATACTAACATAACGCATAATCAATCGATAATCCGTATATCATAAAATGGGCCGGCCTTGGTGCCTTAGACCCATTGGTATGGTGAGAAGACTCACATCTCCTGAATGTAAAACTGACAAGCTAAGACTAGTTAATCCACCACGTGCTGCTCCAACTTAACCGCCTATAATCATCATGTGATTAACTCGCCAAAATCCTATAGACACCCTTAAAGTCAACCCTGGTCAATAGTCAAGGTCAACAGTCCATGTTGGCCTCAGCTCGTCGAGTGCATCCAGCAAGTCGTCGAGTTTTCTGAGTAATTGAACCCACTCTCCGAGTTACCTGTGTAACTCGCCGAGTCCCTCCGAAAACTCATGACAACCAAACTCGTGAACCCGAAAACTCATGACAATCGAAAACTCGTGAGCCCGAAAACGATTAAACCCTACTCGACTCGTCGAGTCAACCAATGGACTCGACGAGTTCCTTTAGTCTATTTCATGACCAACCCTTTTCAGTGGGATCTAAGGTCCCAAACTCTAGATCCAACTTCTCCAAGTGCAAATACCATGTAAATTTGCAAACTTTGCGTGCGTGCAAGGTCCTCTAAGGCCATATCTTCAAAACTAGGCTCCTTACATGGTTCTTATGCATGGAAAGTGACTAAACTCCATAAAGAGAGCAACTTTATGTAATTGGGGACCTAAAGAGGTCCGGATATGAAACCATATCCTTGTGATAAGTCCAGATCCAAGTTTGACTCCATTTTGCATTAAGAATAGCTATTTACTTCCAAGAAAAGGGATCTAATCAACTAGAGGTCAAGGTGACGAATTTATACCTCAATATGATGGCCAAAACAGGGTAGATGTCGGATCTACTACTTCACTCCTAACTCCTTCTTCTTCAAGATTTGAAATCCTTCACAAATATCCCAAAAAGGCTCACAAAATCTCTTTCTTTCACTCAAGAGGGTTCAAGGTCGATCTACGGTCTTCTCTGGCTAATAGAGTGATAAGGGAGGCCACAAGAGGTAGGTTATGTTGTTTATATAGGATACAAACCCTAAAAATTAGGGTTTCTCTTTACAACTCCTACTCGCCGAGTCGGGGCTTCCGACTTGTCGAGTAGGTCCCGATCCGGCGTCCATTAAAATGTCTCTACTCGACGAGTTGGACTCCCAACTCGTCGAGTCCATGCACAAAAACCCTAATATTAAATAAATTAAGTAGTATCTGGAACAGGTGTTATAATTATTATTATTATTAATAGAGTAGGGTTTATCTTCTAGTTGTAGTAGGATGTGTATGTATGTATTTTTTGTTTTCCATGAATGATCAATACACAAAAAATTGTCCTATCTTCAGTTTGCATGTTCTTTCTTTTATTGTGAATATTTGTGCATGTTTGACTTTAGCAAGAATGACCAGTGGAAAGAATGTCACATGAGAAGAATTATGGTAGGGGGAGCAAAAGCAGTTGTGGATCATAAGCAAGAGCCTCCAGTTTCATACCTGGTTCATATCAAGAAAGGAAGGGTTGATTACAATCGTATGTAATCAAATGGAGAGGAAGAAAGCAAGTAGAAAGCATGAAGAAAGGCTGCACAACAACAAATTAGAAAGAAAGAAAGAAAGAAGAAAGAAGAAAGAAGAAAGAAGAAAGAAGAAAGAAGAAAGAAGAAAGAAAGAAAGAAAGAGAGTAGAAAGAAAGAAAGAAAGAAGAAAGAATGAAAGCAAGCAGCAAGTCAGGCCACGTTTGGTGATCAGAAGAAAGAAGCAGCATAATTTTTCTGTATGAACAATTGCAAGTATTGTAACAAGCAAGAAGGGTTGTCACATAGTCTGCTAGCAAGTAGCAGGCAAGACAATCATAGCAAGAAGAGAGTTCTGGGTTTGTAGCAACTAGAAAACAAGGAGCAAAATGCAAGTAGCAAGAGGCATGAGAAGTATGAGCAAGAAAATAGAAAGTTTAGCAAGAGTAAGAGATAAGAACTTTGTGTTCTTAAAGCAATTACCAAGACTGAATTGAAAAGATTCTGATAGCAAGAGAATGAAGATCATGATCATCAAGATTAAGGGGGTGAATGTTGAGTTAATCTTGATGGTTCGGGTAGAGTACGTGTCAAGTCGGTTACGGGTTTGAATGGGTCAGTCCAGGTTCTTTATGCACATGTTAATAATGAAGACTTAGTCCAAAGAAGGACCTGGTTTGGTGGAGCTTCAATAAACGTGGACTTAGTAGTCCTATCTTTGTGGTTTTGGCTAGTAGTTTTCCTTTTCCTTAGCATGATTATTATTATAAATAGAGTAGGGTTTATCTTCTAGTTGTAGTAGGACGTGTATGTATGTATTTTCTGTTTTCCATGAATGAGCAATACACAGAAAATTGTCCTATCTTCAGATTGCATGTTCTTTCTTTTACCGTGAATATTAGTGCATGTTTGATCTTGTGTAGAGCATGTTCCAACAGGGTGGTAGGTGGTGGTAGTGGCAGGTGGTGGTCATAGTGGTGGGTGAGTGGTAGTGATGGGTGGTAGAGGTGGATAGTGGTGGTGGTTGGTGGTGATGGTGATGGTGGCGGGTGGGGTTGGTGGTGGCGGGTGGTGGTGATGGGTGGTGTTGGTGGTGGTGGTGGATGATGGTCATGGTTGGCGATGGAGGAAGGTGGTGATGATGTTGGGTGGTGGGTGGCGGTGGCGGTGACGGGTGGTGGATGGTATTGTTTGGGTGGTGAGTGGTGTTGCTTAGTGGGTTTTTTAATTCTTTACTTATTTTTTGATTTATATTAATATTATTTGATGATTTTAATTAAAAAAATTGTGTCGTCATAATTTGTTTCAGCAATAAAAAAATGTTTTCGATTGAACGCTTCCTTATATTAAATATTTAAAATGTTTTGAGGCATGCATATTCAAATTTTCTTTGTAGATAGCAGCAGCACATTAGCACATAAAAAAACAAAATTAGTCAGCACAACAAATTAAATAGGTTGACGATAAGTGGAATATGTTACAATAACATTTTATATTAAACGCAATCTGGATGTAATTCTTTTTCTTGATCACAATGACATATAGGAAATATTTTATGATTAATTGTTTTACCCAACATATCTTTGGGAAAATGCAGTAAAATATATAGGTACGTAATTTGAAGATGCATGTGTATCCAGTCACTTATTTGACTAGCCAAAAAACAGGCGGATGCCATACGGAAGTAATCTAGGTCTGTTTTTGTTCCTTACCTTTTCAAAGATGTACTCGTAGTAGCCGTATGTGGAGCGAATGAGATCTACCATCAATGGGATTTGAAATGTGGCAAAAGATACAATCGGAAGAAAAGCTAGTACACATATCGGAGCAAGCATCCATCGTTTTCCATGACAAAAGACAAAGAACAAGGTCGCGCTGAAGGCCACCATCATGGCAGTTGTTGATATCATTAAGCTGCAAAGACCAAGAATCAATCGTTTTGGTAAACTGATTCGAAAATCTTGCTCAGAAAAACGGCCAGTGAGGATGGACTGGAACATTAGTAATGCTGTGCTCGATGCAAATAGTGAGATTGCATCTGCTACAGCGAAGATTGTGAAAGCAATGTTTTCTGTAAACACAGGGATGCCTGTGTCTTGCTTGCTTCCACCTGGTACTGTGATTGCTGCTGCAAATACGATTGTGGCAATCAGTGCTGCAGTGATGCTGCATGATTCTGCTACGGCTTTCATCCACTGTTCTCCTTCCTTCACCAAATGTTTGTGTTCCTTTGTGAATACCATATCCGGTGTCTCATTAAAAATATTCTCTTTAGTAATGTATGCAGGAGATACCATCTTCTTCACCACCTATATAGAATTATTTAACTGGTTAATTAAACAACAATATATAATTCAAGTCCTACAATTCATACCTCACGCCATTGAAGCTCTCTTTGTAGTTGTAATGCTGCACCAGTTCTAAGCTTTAGTTTATGAGTGGGAGCTAATCTTCCAACCAAGTGTAACATATTGTTTTGTGAAGAATCTTCGATAGTTCTATAAACATTCCTACGCTCTCCAAGGATATTGATAAGCTCGTAGATATTTTCTGAACGGTGTATTACTGCTAACTGGATGATGTCATAACCATTTTTATCTTTATACCTAATTGCTTCGGGGCATCTCATTAAAATCTCATCAACAACCTCATAAGCATCTTGACGTGCTGCTTCATGAACAGGTCTTGCGTAATATCGAGGATCATGAGGTTTACCAGGGGTCTTTAAATTGTCGATTTCATCACATACCAATTTTAAAACTTGTTTTGCTTCTTCGGGTTCCCTGTGTTTCTTCTCGATATCATCAATGTATTTAACTGTATATGCACGGGAAAATTAAGTAAAAAAATACTAGTATCAAATTTCTTGTATAAATTATATAAGTGGATTAACTTCATATATATGCTCTTACATTGTGTTTTTAAAATCGTCCACAAGGAAAAATAAAGCATAAAGAATGGAAAATAAACCATCGTTATGAAGAGGAGAATTATCAAACAATAGATCCAAGATAGCACATATAATGGAACTGCAAAAGCACAAATTTTTATTAGTGAAATATATATACATAATTTCTAAGTTCAAATATATGAATAATTATTCTCAAGTTGTATATATATATATATATATATATATATATATATATATATATATATATATATATATATATATATATATATATAGTCATTCGTTGTCAATTGATAACTCACCCTTTATAATGGTGAATTGTACGAGTTTCAAAATACTCCAAATCATGTTGTTAGGTATATCCTCTATGATTTTCATTGGGATTCTGTGGAACCTTACTAATGCATAAAACAACATCCTAGCTCTCTCGACCATCCATTCAAAAATATGATCCGGAACTGAAAGAGAAAAACCATATCCAATCATGCATGCATGCATCCAATCTTTAATCAGAAGGAATTAAAGCTGCTACGGAAACATAATTAAAAACGAATAACAAAACAAACTTACTTGGATATATAAGTGTTTCCCAATGGTCTAGCCCAGTCGGAAAGGTTTTTGGTATTGCCATCAGTACCTCATCGTCTTCCACAACAAATTGAGGATACTTTTGAATTAACTCCTTTGCTAAATCTGTAGGCATGCATTTTCAAATTAATCAGCAAGTCTTATAATCGTATCTATGTGAATGTGATATATAGATTTTTTGGCTAGCTACACACCATACTGCTTTGCAGAGACAGCATTAGCAAGAAGGTTGGAACCTTTTTTTACATCAATGGGGTTAGACATTTTCTTGTTTTTTCCATCTTCATTGGTGGCTTTCAACAAATATTCAACGGTATCCAGATGCATATTTTCAAAAGCTTTATGCAAAGGTGTTTCACATTTATTGTCTTCTGTTACCAACAACTTTCTGTTTCTTTTAATCAAGAGCTTTGCTCCTTCTGTGTTTCCGACTATTGCAGCAATATGAAGGGCTGTGCTTCCATTTTTATTTTTCATTCTAGGTAATTTTGCGTCTTTGATTTTTGATAACATCTCACTCACAAAAGAGTTATGACCGATCCCAACCACTATATGAAGTATCCTGTTGTCATCACTGTCGATTGCCTCTGTGATTACATCTTCGTCTTCATTTATCATGGATTCTACGTCATCCCATCTCCCTTCCACAATAGCACTAGACAACTTCTTGTTGCGTTTCGTCTTTTCATCTTCTGTCATTTGGACTTTAGGTTTTCTTTCTTTTAATATCCCCCCAATAGCCTCCCTTGCCATCTTTGCCATCTTTTTATACCTTGCAAATTTGCTCCTGATTTCTTCTTCCTTTTTCATCACAAATTCTTCAAATGGTGTTAGTGGATCTTTTGGAACTGCGCTTTCATCTTGACTAGTTTCAGTCTTTGTTTCTGCTAAAAATTAACATATCGATTCCTTCTGTTATTCATTCGATTTCAAACTTTATTTATATATGTCTTTTATTTCCGATAGTTCCCTTCTAGATTCATTTGACGTGCCCTTTTTAAATCTCAATTACATGACTATGTATGTAAACCATATATAATAACCTTTCTTAAACATCGATCCTTACAAAAGTTTATTCAAATTACGAATTCTAACTAATGGTAAGAAATAAATAAAATAACATGCATGTATGAGCCTGAAATATGATTGCATGATAACTAAATTTGAATATTTTGGTGTAACCTTAAACATGATTTATAAAAAATGAGTAAAACACCCAATTTGTGATTTTGATGAAATATTTATATATGAACTAATCTATCATATATGTAGATGTTACATAAATGGTGATGTAGAACCTGTAGCTTTTGTATTTATGACAAGGGTTTAGATCCAGCCTAGATGAAATCTCATTATCTAATTGTAAAGTACATTGTTTTCCGCCGAGAGGTCAGCAAGGTGCTCAGACTTGTTTTTACTTATATTTTTTTTTTTTGAGAAAATTATCATGTTCCAGTAAGCTGTTTGATCATCAGTTGGACTTAATGTCTAATGTCATCAAACTATAAGTTCCTGTATATATTAAGCAGTGTTCACAGTTAAGATGTTGCAATATTAACTGAGTTTATAATAACCAGCTAGCCAATGTGCGTACCTTTTGTAGAATGCGTGATAGTTGGATCGTAGATGGATTTTAGTTTGTCCCAAACCTCTTTAGCTGATTCAATATTAAAAACAGTGTTAAGGAGCTCTTCACTGATCGTACTGAAAATCCAACCCTTGACAATACTGTTAGGTGGAGTATCGATCAAGTCTGGGGTACTTGGATCACATACAATGCCATAGAGATTGTAACTCTTCAGGAGGCACCCCATCTGCTTCTCCCATAGATGGTAGTTTCGTTCACTGGAAAGCTTCACAGAAACGAAGTTAGAAACATTCGCATTAAATGCATGCGAGTCTTGATTTTGAGGTGCTGAAGAAGAAGAAGAAAATGAAGAAGGGTTTGATGGGCTTGCCATTTGAATGGAGAAGAGATGTGTGTGGGTGGCATGTTGATGAGCTTCTTCGTGGTTTATATATTGTGCATATAGGGCTAATTATTATATTCGATACGTGCATTAATTAGTCTCAGCTTTATCTTTTTTTCTTCCTTTCACTTTCTTTTTGCTAAACATATTCCTAGTACACAGTTGATCGAGTGCATTGCTAATGAATAAGATTTGCTTAATTTTTTTTCAACGGCAGAGCATATATTATGAAAAGAATAGATCAGTACAAAGTTTACCCCCTTTCTAAACAACATCAGTACTCCATGTAATAATCCTGGAAACTAATCGCTTAATCAGCACCGGTATAACTAATTAACAGACCAAGATATATAGAACAACTAAAAGTATAAAAGTAGAGGGACATGTCGTTTTTCACACCAGGATATATTTGATGTATTCCATACTTGCATTAAGTACTCTCCGCTTTATCTTTTTTTCACTCTATCACTCTTTCTTCTTGTCAATTAAGATATGCCTTGAGAGGGCATAATTTAGTTTCAGAAATATTGTCAATGAACGTGAAAAAACGTTGAGTTCTAACAGGTTAATATCTTCTAAAATATATTAAATGAACTATAAATAGTAACCTACTAAATAATCTTTTTATACAAATTTAAAAATATTGATGCTTGTTTATTTGATGTTTTTTATTAGAGAGGATTAAGTTATTAATCGTTTATAAATATTCTCCTAGATAATTTATGATGATATTTTCTTTTAAAAGATTTTTTTGTAAATTTTTTACAATGATTATCCTTTTATAAATCTTTTCCTTAACCAAACTTCATATATAGCGCATTTTCACTACAAGAATACTGGGCGATTTCCGACGGCCATATCCGTCGAAAATCCGTCGCTAAACACGATTTCCGACGGAATTCGGTCTGTCGTAAAAAAAATCCCAGTAGGTAATTTTTACCGACGGAATTTGTGACGGATTTCCGACGGATTCCGACGGACATTAGTTGAAATTCTTTGACCAAATTAACAATGCAATAGTGACGGAGTTCTGACGGACACTTTTCGTGGCGGATTTCCGACGGATACTTATTAGTGACGGAGTTCCGACGGACACATTTCCCGAAGGAATTGTCATTGAAGGTTTACCGACTGATTCCTCTTAGTGACGGAGTACCAATGGATATTCTTACCATTTCGTGACATACTTTTCTATCACTAATCTGTCGGTAAAATGATTTTTTAAAAAATAAAAAATAATTAAAAAATAATAAATTTCCAGTTTTTTTCCATACACAAATGCAAAAAGTAAAAAGTGAATACTTGAAAAAGATCACCACCATCGGCTTTTCATAAATTGTCACAAAATACAATTACCATATTTGTTTACACAGCTAACAATACACTAGTTAATATTCCAAAATACATAATTAAACCTTCGGCTTTTTTGTTTGAACCCCGACTGGAACACCACCTTCCTCTTACTCGTTTAGAGGGTAACAAAACCATCACAGCCACCGTAACCAATCATCACCACCATCACCGACTTGCTACAACTTCTTTTTCACTACCTAACACCACCTTTTCCTCTTCCATCGTTGCATTCCAAGCACCGTGAACCACCACCCACATCATCCTCCGCCGTAGCTTTCCCATCGTTGGACTTAATGTTTAATGTCATCAAACTATAAGTTAATGTATATATTAAGCAGTGTTGACAGTTAAAATGTCGCAATATTAACTGAGTTTAGAATAACCAGCTAGCGAATGTGCGTACCTTTTGTAGAATGCGTTATAGTTGGATCATAGATGGATTTTAGTTTGCCCCAAACGTCTTTAGCTGATTCAAGATTAAAAACAATGTTAAGGAGCTCTTCACTTATCGTACTGAAAATCCAACCCTTGACAAGACTCTTAGGTGCAGTATCAATCAAGTCTCGGGTACTTGGATCACATACAATGCCATAGAGATTGTAACTCTTCAGGAGACACCCCATCTCACTAGTACAAAAGCTATTTAATAGTGCGATGGGTTTTTCTTTTTTTGGTGCGGTGGTAGGTTAAAACCGCATCATTAAAAAACCAAAAACTATTTTCACATCAATAAACTAGTAAACCGCATTATTTACAACATTTGATGGAGCGGTTTCCGTATGACCGCATTAAATTGCATTTGTTGGTGCGTTTATATCAGAATCACATCATTAAACATTTAGTTCCCTCCTTCAATTTCGTTCCTGGGTGATGGTTTTCCCATTCAATTTTTTCATTCCCCCCGCGCGATTCCTTTCCTTTATATTATTTCGTTGTCTCATCTCTCACCCAAAGGTAGATGACGAAGACACAATAGATACCAGCGAGCAGCGACCTTCTGCTTCAACCGACGACTTCCTCCTCGTGTTTTGGTACAAAATCTGAAAACCCTAGCTTAGATTTTTCTTATTGTTAGTATATTCCTAATTGTTTCCATTCTTAAATAGTTTTGTTTGATGGGTTTGATTTCCAGCGACACCCTCAATCCTTTCATCGGATGCATCTTCACCCCCTTCATTGAAGACCACTTGAACGCCCCTTTTTTATGTATCAGCTTCAACTTTTTTTTTCTCTATCATCTCTTCCATCTGTTTGTATTAATTTCAATTTTGTTTTTCCTTTTTGAAGAAATTCATGGTTTGGAGTGATCATCGACATAGGGAATACCAAGAATCGACAGAGGTAGGGTTTTTTGTTGATTGGTTATGTAGCCTCTGGAATTTTATTTTTCTCTTGTTTGTACTTCATACCTTCACCTTTTCAATTTATGAAGGTTTGTTAATTTTTTTTATCTAATTTTGACTTTTGGATTAGTTTCTACAAATACCAACTCTAGCTTTGTTATTTTTTACTCAAGGAAAAGGGGAATTCTATAATTCACATTGCTAGGGTGAGATTTTACTCTTTTTTTTGTATATAACTTAAACAATTTTTTATTCTAAAGTTTCTTTTTTTAATGTGTGTATAATATCTACATAATCATAATGCATGTTCATAAGTCAAATATTTGTTTAACAAGAGGTGGAAAGTTTAAGATATTGTCCTGATATTTTCACTCCTAAAAGATTCTAGAGTTGTGTCCAACTTTTGGATGTTTCTAATAACATAACATTCTCAAGTTCTCCGTAATGCTAAGACTATATGTACTTTGTATGTTTTAAACATTTTTTTTCTAACAGTTAAATCTGCATACTCATTATATTACAGGAATAAATATGCAGATTGAAAGTGAAATCAATATCAAGTTAAGGCATGACTTTCTTTTCTTTATCATTTCTCATTTTGGTTGGGTGTGGTTGTGTTTTCATACCAAAGAATTAATTGAATTTTAAATGTTTTTTTGACATTTTTCTCATGAGTTTTAGTTAATTTAGGTCCTCTTTTTGGAAAGAGGATCACAATGACCCAATCCTGCCATATCCAGATTTGTTGACAATTATGGCCATTGGACCGATAAAGTTGAGGAAGCTGGTAGAGAATGGCTTTCGTGCATAGTTTGATAATATTGCAGAGTCCTAGAAGATCTAGAAGGACAATGTATTTTACTTCCACCATTGTTCAATTGTAAACTTTTTAATGAATATTTTATGTTATTTTGGTGACGGTACATTAGGAAATAGAATCAGAATATGAAGGATATTAACTTGTTGATTTATTCACACAATTCGGAGAAGTCAGTATTTTGGAAATATAGCATTAAGTTGCATTTATTGGTACATTTAACTCAAAACCAATGAAGGTTTCATTTTATAATTTAAAAATGCGGTTCATTTTTTTGGTGCGAATTAAAATGGTAGAACCCTTTGTTTTTTGGAGCGGTTTCGTCTTTTTTTGGTGCGGTTTTATAACTACATCATTAAATGGGGTTGTTTTTTGATGCTATATTTTTTTGGGAAGTGATTCGTACACAACAGTTTTTTGTCATACACAACAATTTATGCATTATAGAGTTGTACAATACAACACTTTAAAGCACAAATTGTAGTGTGCGGAGAAAAAATGTTGTGTACGAATCAGTTCCCTTCGATAACCGCACTAATTAATCATTTCCACCGCATTATTAAATGCTTTCTCTACTAGTGTCTGCTTCTCCCATAGATGGTAGTTTCTTTCACTGGAAAGCTTCACATAAACGAAGTTAGAAACATTCGCATTGAATGCATGCGAGTCTTGATTTTGTGGGTACCATGTTGATGAGCTTCTTCGTGGTTTATATATACTGCATATAGGGCTAATTATTATATTCGATACCTGCATTAATTAGTCTCAGCATTATCTTTTTTTCTTCCTTTCACTTTCTTTTTGCTAAACATATTCCTAGTACACAGTTGATCGAGTGCATTGCTAATGAATAAGATTTGTTTAATTTTTTTTCAACAGCAGAGCATATATTATGAAAAGAATAGATCTAGCTGCAGGAAGCTGGAGACGGAGTACAAAGTTTAACCCCTTTCTAAACAACATCAGTACTCTATATAATAATCCTGGAAACTAATCGCTTAATCAGCACCGGTATAACTAATTAACAGACCAAGATATATAGAACAACTAAAAGTATAAAAGTAGAGGGACATGTCGTTTTTCACACCAGGATATATTTGATGTATTCCATACTTGCATTAAGTACTCTCCGCTTTATCTTTTTTTCACTCTATCACTCTTTCTTCTTGTCAATTAAGATATGCCTTGAGAGGGCATAATTTAGTTTCAGAAATATTGTCGATGAACGTGAAAAACGTTGAGTTCTAACAGGTTATATCATTCAAAATATATTAAATGAACGATAAATAGTAAATAATATTTTTCTACAAAATTAAAAATATTGATGATTGTTTATTTGAAGTTTTTTATTGGAGAGGATTAAGTTATTAATCGTTTATAAATATTCTCCTAAATAATTTATGATGATATTTTCTTTTAAAAGATTTTTTTGTAAATTTTTTACAATGATTATCCTTTTATAAATCTTTTCCTTAACCAAACTTCATATAGAGCGCATTTTCAT